TTTTATCCGACCGAGTGTTTCACCCTGGGGAGCGCCCGTGCTTTTCGTAAAGAAGAAGGATGGTTCGATGCGGATGTGCATCGATTATCGTGAGCAGAACAATTTGACGGTCAAGAACAAGTATCCCTTGCCGAGAATTGAGGATCTCTTTGACCAGTTGAGAGGAGCCAGTGTCTTCTCCAAGATCGATTTGCGGTCTGGTTATCATCAGCTGAAGATCAAGGAGTCCGATGTCTCGAAGAATGCCTTTCGGACTAGGTATGGCCATTACGAGTTCGTGGTAATGCCGTTCGGGTTGAGTACTGCCCCTGCGGTCTTCATGGACTTGATGAACCGTGTTTTCCACCCGTACCTGGACCGCTTCGTTATCGTCTTCATTGACGACATCTTGATATATTCCTGGGACATCGAGGAGCATAAAGAACATTTGAGGATAGTGCTAGAGACTCTTCGTCGGGAAAAGCTCTACGCGAAATTCTCGAAGTGTGAGTTTTGGCTGGATAGGGTGGCTTTCTTAGGCCACATTGTCACGGCCCGTGGAATCGAGGTAGACCCAGGGAAGATTGAGGCCATCAGCAAATGGGAGACGCCGAAGAATGCTAGTGACATTCGCAGTTTTCTGGGACTGGCAGGATATTATCGGCGTTTTATCGAGGGATTCTCGAAAGTGGCCCAGCCGTTGACGAACTTAACCAAGAAGAATGCCAAGTTTGTGTGGAGCCCTCAGTGTGAGTCAAGCTTTCGGGAGTTGAAGAAGAGACTCACATCCGTGCCTGTGTTGACCATACCGGATCCGACTTTGGAGTTCACTATTTATAGCGATGCTTCGAAGATGGGTCTGGGTTGTGTGTTGATGCAGCAAGGAAAGGTTGTAGCTTATGCATCGAGGCAGTTGAAGCCTCATGAGGTGAACTATCCGACCCATGACCTGGAGCTTGCAGCAGTGGTTCACGCCTTGAAGATTTGGCGGCACTACCTTTACGAAGGCAAGTGCGAGATCTTTACCGACCACAAGAGCCTGAAGTACATCTTCACCCAGAAGGAGCTCAATATGTGGGAACGGAGATGGTTGGAGCTCGTGAAGGACTACGATTGCACAATTAACTACCATCCAGGGAAAGCTAATGTGGTCGCCGATGCGTTGAGTCGGAGGAACTACGGTGCACTGAACTTCATTATTTCTCGCGAGGAAGAGTTAGTCCGAGATTTCGAGCGGCTGAAGTTAGAGATCGTGGAGTCCACTCCGAGAGCTAGTGGTGTGCTGACATCATTAGTTGTGGGGCCGACTTTACGAGAGAGGATAATAGCCGAACAACCGAACGATCGATTTCTTTGTCGGATGAAGGAGTTGGCATTAGCTGGACGGATTGGTGGATTCGCGGTTGCAACTGATGGTGCTTTAGTCTTCGAGGGGCGACTGTGTGTACCGAAGGTTTGGGATCTGCGACGTGAGATTCTGAAAGAGGCTCATAGTACTCCTTATTCCATTCACCCTGGTAACACGAAGATGTACCAGGATTTGAGGCAGACTTTCTGGTGGCGTGGTATGAAGCGCCAAGTAGCGAGGTTTGTGAATGGTTGTCTAGTGTGTCAGCAAGTGAAGGCTGAACACCAGAAACCGAGAGGCCTTTTGGGTCCGCTTGAGATTCCCATGTGGAAATGGGAGTGCATTACCATGGATTTCGTGGTAGGTTTACCGAGGTCGAGGAAGGGACACGACTCTATCTGGGTGATTGTGGATCGACTTACGAAGTCTGCCCACTTCTTGCCCGTCCGAACAACGATGAAGGCCAGTGATTACGCCAAGTTGTTCGCAGATGAGATTGTTAAACTTCACGGGGTGCCCGTGGAGATTGTGTCCGACCGAGACGCTAGGTTCACTTGTCAGTTCTGGAGGACTCTGCACCGAGCCATGGGGACGAGGCTGGATTTCAGTACAGCTTTTCATCCTCAGACAGATGGTCAGTCAGAGCGGACGATCCAGTATTTGGAGGATATTCTTAGGGCTGTGGTCTTGGACCGTAGCCTAACCTGGGAGGATTCGTTGCCATTGGTTGAGTTGGCTTATAATAACAGTTATCATTCCTCAATCAAGATGGCACCATACGAGGCTTTGTACGGGCGAAAGGTGCGGACTCCCATTTATTGGGATGAAGTTGGAGAGAGGACGATTATGGGCCCGGAGTTCATTCGCACGACTTCGGCTCAGGTTGATGAGATCCGGAAGAGGATCAAGTCTGCCCAGGAGAGGCAGAAGGTTTATGCCGACCGGAAGAGGCAAGAACACGAGTATGCGGTGGGTGATTATGTCTTCCTAATGGTCTCACCCATGAAGGGTGTGATTCGCTTCGGGAAGAAGGGGAAGCTTCGGCCTCGCTATATCGGGCCTTTTGAGATCCTTGCTCGAGTCGGAGACTTGGCGTATCGGCTAGCTTTGCCACCGGACTTGTCGGGAGTGCACGATGTATTTCATGTCTCCGTGCTGCGTAGATATGTACATGATCTCGACCATGTGGTGGACTTCGGCGAGCTGCAGGTCGAGCGAGACCTCACCTATGAGGAGGTGCCGGTTGCCATACTGGACCGGAAGGTCCATCAGCTGAGGAACCGGGCAGTGAGTTTGGTGAAGGTGCTTTGGAGCCGACACGACGAGACCGAGGCGACTTGGGAGATCGAGGCCGAGCTTAGGAGGAGATATTCGAACTTCGCTTTTTGATCCCTTTTGTACTCTTTTGTATTCTAGTTGGATTGATTTTTTTTTTTTTTTCGAATTCCGAGGTCGGAATTCCTTTTAAGGTGAGTAGATTGTAGCGCCCCATTCGTTTATTAGAGTTTTCTGAATATTATATTATTATTTATTTGCTTATTATTGATTATTTGCCTTTGCGTTATGTGTTTGCCGGTTATGATATTATTTGCTCGTCTCTTTTATCTGTTAATTTATTTAAATGCTATGTGCCATTAATTATGTGAATAATTATGTGTTTATTTATAATTTATATGTAGTAGAATTTTTTTAGGATTTATTTGATTGAAATTTAAATTATTCGGCGATTTTCGGTTTAACCGCGTAAACCGATTTTTAATCCGTTTCGATTCGTTTTCGAGCCATTTCTACCCGAACCTTGAGTTTATATTTTGACCTCATTTGATTTTCAATTTCGGCCATTGAGTAATCTCTAAAAACCGATCTTATCTAGTGCTTGATATGAGTTACTTATAGTTTAGTCATATAAGTCTTATTTTGATTTGATCATTCAAACAAATTCTATGCATATAACGTAAATATTTCACCAGCCTTACATTTCTTTTCCATATGGCCGTTAAGCCTCCCTCAAATCAGCTATTAGTGGCTCTCAATTATGGCAAATAAATCCATTTTAATGGCCTCATTAATTTGGAACTTTTCCTCTTTATCACCCCAAAACTGTACGCATCTCTTTTCTGTATATTTCTGATAATTCTCTCCTAAGACAAAATCCTTCTCATACCAGAAGAAAAGTTTGGCGAAAATTTCATAATACAATTCACCATCATCACCACAATTCCTATCCCATCATCCTTCACACTATTGTTTTCGGTGACTAAAACCGCCGAACATCATCAAAGTTCCGACGAGTACATTCTCCCTGACCCGCTCGCTACTACATCGTCCTGTTCACCGTGCCGAGATCTGCCGCTGTTCAGTTTTCCCGCATCCGGTAACCGACATCCGTCGGAGCAGACGCAGCCACGGTCCGCTCGTCGAGTTTCAGCTGTTCTTTTGTTTATCCGTTTTTCCCCTCATTCCTTCAGCTTTGACTTGTAGATTTCTGAAGTACGGTGATTTCTCGATTCTCCTCTGT